GATCCTACCTCAGGTTCTCAGGGTGAAACGGCATGGACCCTCACAGGCCATACAATGCTTCTAGTCTAACTAAGGGCAATCTCTCTTTTTCTCCAAAAATTTTCCGCCTGTGTTGAAATGTAAACTGAGGCTGCCTTTAGCTGCCTTCTATCCTTCCCTCAAATGCTGATCAATGTCAAATACTCACGGCTACAGAGAGATCCCAGAACGTTAAGTTGCATTAATTAAATCCTTTTTGTTGTGCCATTCTTTCAAGGAAGACTGCAGTGATAGGCCTGCTCACAGTAATCAGAACAGCCCTTAGAGAAATGGAACTTCGTATAGATTTAAATATGTTTTTAAGTTACCATAAATGGGGAAAAAATGTGGGGGCTGACCCAGCAGGCCCGGTGTTTTTGATGATTGATGTTGTTTTTAGTTTTTCTCTGTTTTTAGGATTATAATTTCAAATAAAACTTATTACATAAAAAGAAGAGCCCAAACCTGTACAGTAGTAATCAGTATAGGATTGCCAGCATTTTAACCCCTGTTGTTCCCATCTCTTTAACAGCAACTTGATATGCATCCACCGGCGTGTAATAATGCACACTGTCAAGCTATGAGCAGCTTAATCTGGTCATTTTCTGTAGTGGTGGCCAACTTATAGCCCTCCAGATGTTTTAGCCTACTACTCTTCAGCTGGCTGTGGCTGATGGAAATTAAAGGCCAAAAGATCCAGAGAGCACAAGTTGCTTTCCCTATGCCATTCCCCCTGCCCCATTGAGTTGGGAACCCTAAATTTAAAAAGCTGCTACTGATGGGCACATGGAACATGCACCAATAGACCCAGTGGAAGAAGGGTGCGTAATGTGTTCAGGGCTAGAAAAACACTACTGGGCTAGATGGACCAGTGGTATCATTCAGTATATTTCCCATATTCCAGAGTTTTAACAGGCCTTATCACTGACAGCAGATGATCTGTTTCTTTTTGGAAACAACTTGCTGAGTCACTGGAAAAAACAACAGTATACCTTGCTTGTAACAGCAGAGGCATGTTTCTAACCTGTATGCTACTTCTAAGGAGGCAATCATTTCTGATTTCAGGAAACTGCTTTTACACTCGGAGGTCATTTTTCATTTTGTTTCATTTATTAAGGTCTCAGATCAGCAAGACAGATAAACAAACAGTAATAAAATAAAAGGCTGGTTTAAACTAACACAGTTTATACACTATCTTCACTCAGGAAGATGACAACATTCCCCCCCCCCCCCGATTGCATCGCCGCCAAATCTTTGCATTAACATAAGATACATCCCCTTAAACAAAAATATCCTCATTTAAAGGTAATTTTTTTTACCATAAATGGGGGCTCAAAGCAGAACTTGCTTCAGTCTTTTTGTAATGCAAACAAAATACTTGCTCTACCAGAAGGCGCATTTGTAATACAGAAGTGAGCTTGTGCTACTTTCTCTTCCACAGTAGGGATGAGTGGGCGTTCAGAGGCTCAAAAGCTATTTAAGTCTGTCATGTAAAAAGCATCCTGTCAGCACACTAAGCATACAATGAGAAATGTACAATGTGGAAGTGATACCAGTGGTGTGTAGGTAGAATTGTAGGGTAAATTTGCTGTCCTTAAAGCATTTATACTTATTGTCTTCTAAGACAGCACTATAGGGTTTATCTTCAACACTGCAAGTACCATTAAATATAAAGGAACTGGAACAGTTACAACCTTGTTTAGCCAAAAAGAATAACCGTACCTTGCCCACTAAAGCAAGTTATTCATATAATATAAAATAGCAAAGAGGAAGCAACCCCACTTTCTAAAACCTAGGCATGGTATTTTCTTTAAATAGGTGATTACATAATGCCAATAAATGTGGGGGAGAGGGGGAGGCAGGCAAAAAAGGATTTCTAGTTCTGAAGTGTCAGAAAGAAAGCTTTAAAAGTCAACCTTGCATTTTAAGGTTTTTAAAATACTACCTGCCTAGTTATTTCAAATCAACACTATAAAAATGGTATCCCCCCAGAAGTTTTAGGCTTCACCTCCCAGCAGTCCCCGCCAGGAAGATAGAAGAGTGGTCAGGAAAACAGAAGGTTCAGACAGATTTAGCAGTATGATGTGCTTTTGTTGTTTAAAGCTTTAAACCAAACACAAGTAATTTGAATTGTGCTCTGAAGTAGCAGCTGGTGTATCTGGCCAGAAATTAGCAAAATCCAAAGCAGAATCTGTGCCTTCACCAAACTGCAATATAAAACTAGTAAAAGAAAAGCCCTAAACGGCTTGGGTCCTGGCTACCTGCACGAGCGCTTACGTCCGTATATGCCCGACCGCCCTTTGAGATCTGCGGGAGAGTCCCTTCTCCGAGAACCCTCCATGAAAGAAATTAGGAGAGTAAGTACCCGGAGGAGGGCTTTCTCTGCGGTGGCGCCCAACCTATGGAATTCACTCCCCAAAGAGGTCCGCCTGGCACCGTCGTTACTGGTTTTTCGGCGCCAGGTAAAGACCTTTTTATTTAAACATCATTTCAATTGTTAAAACATATGATCTGGCCTGGGCAACTTCTTCTTCCTTCTCTTTCTCATCCTATATTTTTATTTTATACTGATAATTTTAATTTTGTATTTGTAAATCAATGTATTTTTTGTATTTTTATATTTAATGGTAATTTATTATGTACTATTGTATTTCAATGTATTTTATCATGTTGTAAGCCGCCCCGAGGTTTCGGCAAGGGGCGGCATAGAAATGTTATAATAATAATAATAATAATAATAATAATATGTGTTATTATTGCACTGGGCATTATTTCACAAAATGTGAACTGAAGGTAAGATAGAAGTATCTTCCCTAGCTGTTCATTGTACCCTCTATAGATTTACTTAGAAGGGCAACTATGTTGAAGTTTTAAGGTATCAGCTCCCTCTTTACTTTGCAGAGCAAAATGCTTAAAGACTGCCTGAATATATCAAAAACAAACAAGTGGTAAAAAGTGGGACATCCTACAACATAGCAAGTTACTCTGATCTATTATTTCTTTGTAAGCAAATTTAGTATAATTCCACCAATGCCCACCCCACATGTCTATATTCTACGGGATACCATTGCTAGAATTTACCAATAGATTCAGCAAACGGTTGGCTGCCAACAAGAAAAAACTAACTGTGGGCAACTGTGCCAGAAATTTTAAAACTAATAGTATGCCCACAGTATGAAGTCACAAATGACTGTGAGAATTAATCACATGTTTCATCAAGCTTTGCCTCTTTGCCAAGTTAATCTCTTGACTGCCTGGAAAGCATCTTATCACTTGCCACTTGAAAGATGGTTGCAAGAAAAGATAAAAGGAAATAGTGCTCAGAAATAGAGCTGATCTTGATGTGTATCTTTTAAAATACAAAACAACAGTGTTTTACCTTCCCAGCATTCATGTGCCAACACAGGGAAGCAATCTGAAATACAGACAGGTGAAAAGCCTTACTCATTAAATAGGCTAAATGTCATAAAAGCAGCTAATTTAGCTGCTTGAATCTTAATCTATTATCTTGAATATAGCACCACATTGTCCCCATACATACTGCTTTACAAAAAGTAAAAGGACAGATTCCTTCCTCAAGTGTTCAGCAATCTACATTGTGTAAAATACTGTGTTAAAAAATAGATGTTTATGGACTTCCAGTTAGTGAAGAGGAAACAAAACACAGAAGGTAGCTGATGCATTACTTTCCTCCCACACAATACTATGCACAATGGAACTTTTAAAGCATGGTTCATTTAAAGACAAAAATATACTGGCAAATTTGGAATGTGTCTTTTCTCCTTACAGACTTAGTACAACATACACATGCACAACTTGTTCAAGTGGCATATAATTCAACACTAATGCTATTTTTATGCCTTAAGGTCCTGCTGACCGTTGAATATTTATCCCTGTGAGGCACCTAAGGTTTTAAAATATGCAACTTGTGCCTTCAATCACATCAGCTTGACACACAAAAACCAAGCAACTGATTTTTTTTGTAGTGTATAGAACATAAAATTGATGGAGGTGGTGCAAAGGCTTCACCTATTTCAGCCTGCTCTGAAAAGTCATAGAAGGGGGACTAGTAATCTCACACCAGATGTTTATTCTTCAGCTGGTGAATAAGGGGCTGACAATGAGTCAGACATCTAATAAGGCCTGCACTCCTGAACCACTGCTCCCCCCCCCCTTTTCTCCTGAGCAACGAGAGGAAAAAGGATGTCATGTGTGCCGAAAGCGCAGGTACCTTTAATGGTTGTACAGAAGAAACGATCCCTTCTTCTACACAACTATCAAAAAGAGCCAGACCTTTTTTTCAAATGAATCAAGAGTAGGCAGCATGTCGCCTTCCAGAAGTTTTAGGCAACTTTCATAATCAGTGGCCATACTGGCTGGGTGTGATGGGAGGTGTACTCCCAAACATCTGCAGGGCGCCAGTTTGCCTACCCTTGAAGCAAATCCATCACATTAAAGCAGGTCCCACATTGGAAGAAAAGGCTTTAAAGTGTTGTCGTTGGAGGAAGCCCAGGTTTCCCTCCCCATTCTCCATCGTCCATATGTTGTTTTGGCTGGAAAGTGCTACGGGCTGGTTCTGGGGGCAGCTTCCTGTTTTGTTTCTTTCCCGAGTTTGTCCTCCCGTGTTTGCTGCAACCCTTGGCTAACTCTGAGAGAAGCTCAAGACGTCTCCCCCTACGCATCAAGGCTTGCATCCACTGTTTGCCCGAACACTTAAAGCAGACCCGCTGAAACGAAGGGGGCCGAAGTAAGAACAACGGCGCATACTTCCCCAAGCTTGCCCTGCTGGAAAGTGCCCGAACGCAGCCGCAAAGCGAGCGCAACGCACCGCACACCCGCGGTTGCGCCGCCCGCCCCTTTCTGAGAATTGAGGGGACGGGCACGGCCGATGACAATGCAGCCAGAACCCCTCTGATTGGCCAGTCCGGCAGTCGACAGCCTGCTGCCCGCCCCGCAAGCCCAGAAGTGGAAATCTTTCGCTTCCTTATCCGCTCACTGATTGGTCAGGACTAACCGGGGACGCGTTGGTGCTTCGCTGCTCGCGCTTCGTGTGAGGCGCGAGTTGGGCTGCCTAAACGTTCGGCTTGAAGAGACATTAAGAGCAGGAGGGGGAAGAGGAGAAGCCGCCGCTGTCGCCGCCATTCCTGAAACTGCGATGACGTTCAAGCGCAGCCGAGACCGTTTCTATAGCACCCGGTGCTGTGGTTGCTGCCATGTCCGCACGGGTACTATCATCCTGGGGACTTGGTATATGGTAAGCTATAACTCGACGGAGGGAAGGGCTCCTGTGCCACACTGCGCATGTTCGGGGGAAGACGTGGGAGGGAAAAGAGAAGAGGGAGACTTGCTTGAGGGGTGAAGTTCCGGATGGTGGCCCTTACTGCGCATGCGTGCAGTTCCTCAAGCTCCGTGTACGGTTTGCTCAATGTGAAGAAAGGAGCTGCTTAGATGTGCGTCAAGAGCATTGCGCGTGCGCACTGGCTTCTAGGTGAAGTTTTTGAGAACTTTACCGAGGTGTTTGCCGTCCTCTAAATAAGTGATTCGGAATTACTTTGTCTGCTTGGTCGTCTGTAACTTGAGCCTAATTATGTTTACTCGGGAGTTAAAGGAAGCCTGGTCGGGATCAGTGGGTTAATTTGTTTCCCACGTAGGTGGGCACCGGATTGCGGAAAGTAAGAACATAATGAAAGGAACCTTACTCCCATAGAGGCTTTCACTCATAGAGAAAAGGGGGGGATGAATTTTGTGGGTAGTTCACAAAGAAAGTTGACTAGCATCTACCCTTCATGAACCTGATGTCTTCCAGATGTTTTATGCTGCTGGGAGGTCTAGTCTCAAACACCTGCAAAACATGATGTTCGGGAGGGCCAATCTAGTGCAAAGGTGAGGAACCTTTGGCCATCGAGGTATTGTTGGACTCCAGCTCTTATCGGTGCCAGTTGGAATGGCTGCTGATCTAACAATATCTGGAGAGCCATATGTACCTCGTCTCAATTATAGTGGTTTTTGCCTTAGTGTCTACACTGTGGAGAAGAGGACAAGAGTGCTGAAACACAAGAAAAGCCTTGTTTAATCCCACCAAAACTCCATCTAGTCTAGCATTTCGTTTTCTAGAATGGCCACAAGCAGAGTGTGAAGGCAGTAGCCTTCTGCTGTTGTTCCCCAGCAATTGGCAGCATGTGACATGTTGGATCTGTGACCTGTTGACACACTATTTTTTGAAATTGTTCTGCCCCCTTCCTGCTGTTGCTACATCTTGTTGCAGCTAATTACAGGAAGTGCTTCCATTTGACTGTTCTGACTCTATTGGTAGTCAGATACACTGGATGACCCTGATTTCTGTTACTATGGGAAGGAAAACAACTTTTAGTTCACAAAATGCTTAATTCTATGCATGAGAATAGTGTACTTTGTGTGTGTGTTTGTGTTGTAGTCAACAACTCTGTGCTTATGTTTAGCAACCTGTTTTGATGTGTTGTGTTTTTTCTGATTAGCAAAACAGATTAAGAATACATTTGCGATCTTATGCATATTTATACAAAAAATAGTCTTAAAACTCCCAGCATTCCACAGTTGGTCATGCTAGCTACTGAATGCTGAGAGTTGTAAGACTTTTTCTGTCTACATATACATAGGATTTTTGCCCTAAGAGAAGAGGCCTGAGGTAAAGGTAAAAGAATAGCCTGCTAACTAATTTCAGGATTCAATTGACAAATCTAATTCTGAAATGCAAATACGGTCTCTTTAGTTTTTTTGATGAGTAGGGGACTGCAGGTGGCGCAGTGGTTTAAACCACTGTGCTGCTGGGCTGGTTGATCAAAAGGTTGCCGGTTCGAATTTGCACAATGGGGTAAGTTCCCGTTGCTCCGTTCCAGCTCCTGCCAACTTTGCAGTTTGAAAGCATGCAAATGCAAGTAGATAAAAAGGTACCACTTTGGTGGGCAAGTAACAGCGCTCCGTGCACTTCGGTGTTTAGTCATGCCGGCCACATGACCATGGAGACTGTCTGCAGACAAACGCTGGCTCCCTCGGCTAGGAAACGGAGATGAGCACCACCCCCTAGAGTCAGGCATGACTGGACATAATGTCAAGGGGAAACCTTTACCTTTATCCTTATTAATAAATTCTGTTACTCTAAGAACAGATCTGCACTACCAACTTTTTCATTCATCTGGTTCTAATAATGATAATATGTCTGGTCATGGGTTATTTAACTCACAACAAGCTGCAGCATCCATGAGAAAGATTTGACTGTGTAATCCCTTCTTGAGGGTTCTCATGTTGTGTGAACCTAGCAAGCATGGGTATGCAAAGCTTAAACAACCATCATATAGCCCATGTTTCACATAACACAATAGTGCCTGAGGAAGGGTTGTATCTTCAAAGTGGTAGCTGTACACAGTGCACCATTAAATAACCCAGCATAATCTGGTCCATTGATTTTCTTCTAGTTTTAACTATTAATATTTTAATAGATTTTAATAGAGATTTTAAGATTTTCATAGAGAGCCAGTGTGGTGTAGTGGTTAAGAGCATGGGACTGGGACTCAGATGATCTGGGTCCTAGTCCCCGCTTAGCCATGGAGCCAACTGGGTGACTTTGGGCCTGTCACAGACTCTCAGCCCAACCTACCTCACAGGGTTGTTGCTGTGGGGATAAGATGGAGGAGGAGATGTAAGCTGCCTTGAGCCCTTTGTAGGAAAAAGGCAGGATATAAATCGATAAATGGATAAATTTCTCCTGGGAGAATCCTCAGACATGGTAAGGGTATTGAGAATTTTATTTGAGATCCACTACGCCCCTTGCTTCCAAAGTACATGTTGGAGCAGAGTACTAGGAAAGTAGTGTTTGTAGAAGTGGTGGGGAGAAATTGAATCAGAAGAAAGGTATGGCCATGGGAGACTTTTCCTCTCTCTCAATCTCTCTCTCCCCACACATTTCATGCATGTATTTAAAAGGAGCTTGGACAAATCCATGGAGGAAGAATTAGTAGAAAAATGCCCTCCTGGAGAAAATGTCCGTGGAGAATAAGTGACTGCTAGTCTTGATAGCTGTATGCTGCTTCCAGTATCAGAGGAAATGCAGAGGCCTGTGTATACAGTTTGCTGGAGAACATGGGCAGGAGAATGCTGCTGTGCTTGTATGTATGTTGCATGTGAGTTTCTTGTGGACAGCTGGTTAGCCACTGTCTGAACAGTGGCTCTTAAGTGCTTGGGCTCCCAACTGGAAAGAATTACAGCCTTCCGTCATTTTTTGTCCTATTCCTGGGCAGGTGGTAAAGAAATAGGAGTATTTTGGATCCTATGGATCTCATTTCCCTGCATGCTTCCTTTATGTCCTCTCTGACATCAGTGAAGCATTGACTCCAGATCTCTCTGTGCCCTTACAGAAGGAAATCTAAAAATTCGCTTGGCCACTAGGTGTTCTTCTTGTGACTGTGCACCAATTGCATCACGCACCAATTCAGACACCTTTCCAAATGGAGACTGGATCCAAGAGCATGGTTAAGTGTGTATAAAGATTTTGCCCATGCCTAACACTTCTATGGGCAAAACAAGTGGATATGAAGCTAGTGTGATATGAAGCTAGCAGTAAAATGACATACTTAAGAATTGTGGGAGGAGGTTGCCTGGAATCTTACTAGCAAGGCAAAATGAGCCACCATTTTGCCTTATGAAACTTTGATAAAATCTGACGGTAGCAGCTGTTTCCCTTTACAGTTGGTTGAACATAGGAAATAGCCTTATACCAAGTCATATCATTGTATCCATCTAGCTTAGCAATCTCAACAATGACAGAAGAATTCGCTAGGGCTTCAATCAGGAGCTTTTCCCAGCCTTACCTAGAGAGGCTGGGACTGAACCAGGGAGTTTCTGCTTGCAAAGCATTCACTCTACCACTGAGCTACAGCCCCAGAAACTGTTTTGCTAGATTGCATGGTGGAAGTATAACATTCCTTGATGCTACCCAGTGCTCCTTTATGGATTTTCACTGCAACCTTTTGTCCCTCTTGCCAGAGTTCACATTTTTGATGCTTCTAACTGTTGCTGTGCAGATGTTACTAGTTGTTTTCTCTTTTCCTCATCAGGAAGCGGTTTTATTTTCATGGTATGTGGGAGGAACTGTTTGGTCAACAGAGCATTTCTTGTACACAGTACTTATAGAAGGCATTTGAGTGCACATGCTTAAAAGTTCATGTACGTCAGTGTTCCGGTACAACACCTAACTAGGAAGGGGTTCACAATCATTCTTGCTACGGGAGAGTTCTTTTTATAGTATTTCCTTTCTCTACGGCTAGGCAAGGGCACACACAGACAACACATTAGTTTTGGAAATGATCAGAAATTAGACATCTTGCTGCTTTTCGAGGTTCACTGCAACAGAAATAAGACTCCCACACACACCCACACATTATTCTGTAGTGCATAACAATTTTAACTAAACACATTGCAGTAGTACAGAATGTACCTTGTAATTGTTTTATAGAGAATTGTGACCACAATTCTATACATACATTTCTGGGAGTGAGCCTGTCAGGGACATGGAGGGATTTCTGAGTAAATGTATATTGGATTTAGCCACACCTTGGGTTTTTGGTATATATATTCATATAGTGCTTTCCAGGAAAACCTTTTAAAAGGGATTAAATGAAAGAACAATAGTGAAAATTATATAATGGAATTGCAAAGACATGCCACAGAATTGGGGACAGGATGTTCTGAAAGCTATCCCAGAGGTGGTTTGGTTCTGAAGTAGGCCCTTATAGGCAGTGAGGGAGATGAGGGTTACTGAATCTATGCTATCTGTTTTGACACAGGGAGGTCTTTTGCTGTCAAATGCAGATGGAATGCTTTTTCGTATCTGTCATCTGGTAGATTAAAAGATGACAAAGTTTCAGTGCATGTTTGGAGAAGAAATTATTACATAACACCTGTTTGAGACATTTATATTTTGTTTGCATTGCAGATTATACTAACCCATTAAGCAAAGCTAAATTAAATCCTGTTCTGCAAACGCCAAGGAGGATTTGATTCTACTATGTCTTACTTTTCTACTCACCTGTTGTTGAGACTCAATTTCTTTTGATTGTAGGTTTCATCACATTAATGAATTGTAATTAAACACGTATCTGTGTTTGAAGCCTGCTGTGTCCTTTTTAGTTGACTTCTCTAGGCAGAGCATAGCTTTGTAGTTGGAAGCTGGGGAAATGAGGTAGGCTAAAGGACAGTTATGTGATTGTCCCCCCAATGTGGGACAGTGCTCCTCCAGGGAATGACGTGGTCAGATTGCGTTCTCAGGGGATGAGAGGGGTGCACCATGGCAGGGATCATGGGCAGTGGTGCCAGCAGATTTTGATGTATTGAACCAATGGTGATTTTAAACTACACACAGCCTGATCTGTTCACTAATATGCAATAAAACCAGTAAAACACAATCATAAACCAATAAAAGGGAATAAAACCCCATATAAAACTGATCAAGCAGCTTAACATGCCCAATTTTAAAATGCTCATTTTTTTGTATCTAAACTATGCATCATAGGTTGATCATTTAGAGAGAGGGCAAAGGATGTAACACTACATCTGTCACTTACTTTGGTGAAAATTCCAAGTAACTTTTTGCTACTTACTACAAGGGCAAAACATGTTACTGATGGCAGGAGAAAAATGGTATTAATCATAGTGAGGTAGGGATGGGAGACTCAATTCTGGGAGCTAGTATATTGCTTAAAATCAACTTACCTATTGTTACTACATCAAAATAACCCTTAGAATTTGTTGGAACATTGTCATTAAATTGGGGACATCTTTAATGCTACAGAACAATTCCAAGAGGTAGAAATGCTAATCTATAAGTTATGTGATAGGGGAGAAAATCTACGTATGAGATGGCTAATACGAGTAGGAGCTGCAAAACTTGTCCAGCTATTTTAGTGTCCATCATGATAACTTGCTAAATGACTTTTTTTTTGGTCAAATCACAGCTTATTTGTATGAAGTAATTTGCAAGATAAAGACATGGGCTTACAACTTTAAAATATACAAGAAAATGGGTAAAAATGCAAATATTTCAGTTTCATATATTGAATTCAAATATATGCTAATCAACCATACATTCTTTGGCTCCTATAGATTAAAGATAGGCAACATACCTACCAGCAGAAATCTACTCAATAGGTTTCTTGGCTCCCCCCCCCCCCCCACCATTAACAGAGCTGGGATCTCTGTTAAATAAGTTTCTGCTTCTGCTGAAAATTGTGCATCCAAAACATTGTATAGTGCATTGTGGATCAGAGCCCATCTCTTCCTTGCCCTTAGTCTTTGAACAGATTACTTGTCTTTTGCCATGCCTTCTATGGTAGCTATTTTATGATGCTACCCATGACGTTTTCTTAAGTTGCCAGATGTATCTATTGGCCGAATGTTTGCCTACTCTGATATAGGCATTGTATACAAAATAGATGGTAAAACCTATGACCTCCTTGTTCTAAGTATGCCTACTATTTCTTAATACTCTTTGAAAGGCCTGTTTTTGACTTTTAGGAACAGACTGCATCAAGATATATTAATAGCTCAGCTAAGTATAACAAGAACTACTTGTGTCTCGTTATGTTATGTTATTCTATGTTAAGCTAGGTATCATGCAGCCAAAAACTATTGTAGAAAGCTTGAAGGATCATGTTTCTCAAATCTAAACTAGCCGGAGGACCATCCTCTGCCTGTCCCCACTGTGTGCAAATATGTTCATCTCCCATATTTATGCAAGTGATTGGAACTGTTCTTTCCAGTAACCTTGATGCTTGCCTCCTTTGGAGACTTGTATGAAAACTTGATCTGTGGGCTTGTATGAAAACTTGATCTGAATCCCAAGGTCTTGTGGCCAGGGTGGAGGGGTGTGTGTGTGAAACATCATGCATTCATTTGTATCTTATTTGGAGACTCTCATCATATGTTGGTTACCATTGGCTCTGCTGTCTCTACTGCAACACTCTACAACAGAATGTGCTCTGGAGCAGTTTGTCCTCCATCCCTTCTACTTTCAAATGCCATTCCTAAAAACCACAAGTCCTTTAGAAACCTCATAAGTGCTGGCACAGCCTGATGGGACATAGGCCAAGGGAAAGGGAGGCAGGAGGTGCCTGTTGACTTGATGAGGAAGAACAAATGGAAGTAGGAAGGTCACCTATCTGAGTCTGAGGCTTTCTTCTCTCTCCTGTATTGTCTAGATGTGCATAATGTGAACTAATGCCAGAGTTCATTTGTCCCTAAATTGCCCATCCCATTTCCTGTTCTTTATTCTTCTTCCACCTCAATCCTGTGAATCTCAAACTGTACAAGTAAAACTACTAATCTTTCGAGGCACTGTTGTGTCTTGCCTTTGAAGCGTTAAAGGTCTGGGAGAGATGGCTGCAATAATGTCCCGGTATTCCTTTTGCTGAGTGACGGATGCTTTAGGACTGCACACAGTCCTTCTCTATATCCTGCCTCCTGTCCATGTCCCCTGCCCTCAGTCTCCAGCAAGATTATGGGGGTTGGTTCTGTCTATTAAGGACACAACGGATTGCTGCTTGCATTTCTCTGGCAGTGTTATTTCTGACTTAGTTCCAGGGTGAACTGCTGCATAACCAGGGGAAAAGGATTAAATGCTGCAATTGGCTGGAATAGCAGTTGCTTTCTTATATTTTCTGTCAGCACAATTGTGGAGCTTGGGCTGTCATCATAAAGGCAAATGTCGCTGGCTTTAATCCCAAATGTATTTCCTATAGAACAAATTTAATTGAACTTGGTCAAGCTTGCTTTGAGGATACATGCTCACAATCACAATAGTAAAATACTTTGCCAAACCATTAATAAGTATTGCTTAATACTACATCATTAAAAATATAATGAAATTTCTTATGCCACCTCTCTCTTTTTCTTTTCTGTTCTTACAGGTGGTAAATCTCCTGATGGGCATTTTGCTTACAGTTGAAGTGACTCATCCAAATACTGTGCCAACAGTAGATATCCAATATGAAGTTATTGGTAACTATTATTCCTCCGAGAGAGTGGCTGGTAGGTGTATAATGTTTTTTTAAATTAATATTAATAAGTTATTTCAACACAATACAATTACAAAATACATCCTAAAATAGAAAAAAACAACACAAGATAGGAAAAAACCCTATATGTGTTTTGAAAAACAGTGCACCCCTCCACTGGGACCATGACTGTATAATACTTTTTCCTTCATTTCTTTTTTCTTTGCTTCTAGCTCTAACTTTCCACTCTTTCAGGAATATCCCTTTCCATCCAAAATTGTATCAGCTGAAGGTTTAACACCCTTCCCTTTTAATAGTACATATTCAATAAGCAAACCTCATATATTATTAAAATCTTTTTTTCACCCTAATCCCACATGGCAACTTATTATTGACAGCTATGTTCTGAATATCCATTGGTTTAAAACTGGGACCTGGTTTCTTCAAAATATCAGAGTACAGTGGTGCCTCGGCTCACGAACAAATCAGGGCACGAACAAAAATTACTGAAAATTTTTTACTTGGGTCATGAACACATGGTGACCAGGATCGCAGCCATCTCCCCCCACTCCACTCCCCGTGGGGAGATGGCCATGATCGCAGTTCCATTCGTGCAGGGAAGATATCTGTGATCAGAGGCGCGTGGCTGCATGAATGACAAGCGGATTCTCAGCCACCTCTTCCACAGCTCGGCTTTGCTGCACCCGTCTTTAGTGCAGCCACGCGCCTCTGATCACGGATCGCAGTTGCTTTCGTGCAGGGAAGGCGTCCATGATCAGAGGCACGCGGCTGCAGGAAAGACGGGAGCAGCAAAGCAGAGCCGCAGGGAGGTGGCCGAGATTGCGCCTGTCTTTCCTGCAGGAGCGCGCCTCTGATCATACACGCCTTCCCTGCACGAACGGAACTGCGATCGAGGCCATCTCCCCACCCCAGCGCACCATTTGCGCCCATCTCTCCCTCCCCCAGTGTGCCCACGTTCACGCCCGTGTCTCCCCCCCCCCCAGCTGCCGGAATGATGGGCACCTGCAGGGATGATGGGCGCCTGCAGGGATGACAGGTGCATCTTGGTCGTGCTGGAGGGGGGAGCGGGGAGATGACTGCAGTTGTGCTTGGGGTGGGGATAGCCGCGATCTTTGTTGCTGTCACTTTGCTTCACATTTTTCTGATTTAAAAAATGGTTACAGAACGGATTAACCTTACTTACATTGAACCTTATGGGGAAATTTGACTTGGCTCACGACCAATTTGGGTTATGACCAGAGTCCTGCAACGGATTAGGTTCGTGAGCCAAGGTACCACTGTATAGCCTTTATTACCTAATAGCATCCCAGGGACCATAGGACTTTTTTGGGTTTCCCTTTTCAAAGCCATAGACATTGATATGACTTTTGGAGAGGAACTTACTTATTGCATCTGTTATGGAAGGAACCACAATAGTTGCATTCTGAGTTTCTAAAAGCTGCCTCAGATGACCTTGTAGGACGCAAAAAGGGGCACTTGAGTTGGGTGGGGAGAGGAGAAGTCAGAATATGGAAAATCCCATGGTCTTTACAGCCGTGGCCCCACCAATACACCTCCTCTAGATATGCCCAGAGACCTGTTTAGAGGAAAGCTTTCATAAAGGTGGGTTGAAAGAAGAAAATTACCATTACTGCTCCTCCTGCCTAGCAAACAGCAGTCTGGCATACCATAATATACCTGGACATCTCTGAGAATGGGAACATTCTTCTAATGGGTGGTAACTCTTAAGGGTTGTGCTCTGAATGCAGTTTTTCAATTAGAAATTAAGCTTGCAACCAGCTCCCTCCTCACTGTCTTTCAGATTTCTTCCAGCTGACACAATAAAAATCACTAAATCTCTTCTTAGTTGGGAAAATTTGTGGGGGGTATTTACTTTGAGTACAGTTGTATTGACTTAGTCAAAGAAAAGAAGTGAAACTGACTTTGCAAACTGTATAGGAGAGATCAAGCCTTATCCAGCTTGAGAAAAATTTAGAGTTGCTCAGCCTAAGAATCTTATGCAAGTGGAGAAAGAAGAAAGACTTTCTTTTGTATAAATTTGCCCAGGGTTATATCCTAAATTAAAGCAATGTATTATGAAGTTTCTGACAGTGGTAGAACTAAAGAAGGCAGCAAGGGAAGAAATTAACCATATCTTAAATGAAAGATAATGGTTTCTTACAAATGATGCCCCTCTGGCTGTTACTAATGATTGGCTTAGGCTCAAACAATATTCTTAATATAGATGGAATAGTTCAGTTCAGAAAAAAATGGCTGCAGTAGCAGATTTGGATGTCTTGAAATGTGTATCTGATTCTGGGAACTTAGACATGGGTGCTATTATGCTTTTCCCTGTGGACAGCAGATGAATGTGTACTGATAGGCTAGGCTAGGTGTTCATTGCGTTGAAATGTCCCTTCTACAGCATGCTGGAAATTTTGCACAGTATTGTGTATTTAAACCATTGGTTTGGTCTTTTTTAATAGAGAGGCCTTCCGTATAATCACTTGTCAGACTGTTTCTTCCATTGTTACATATTTTAGTCATTTGTACTATGTTCTAATGCACTCTGTCTGTTAAGCAGTATACAAAGTAGTTGTAATTTGTGGTACTTTCCATTCAATTTGACAGTTGGTGGATTAGAAGTTTAGCAAACTTATTTTAAAATTAAGTATTAATAAATCACACACATCGCATTGTGCAAATAGTTTGATTTAACATATATTTGTTAAATATATTATTACTATTTTTCTCCTTCAGAAAATGCATGTGTTCTCTTCGCCATCTCGCTCCTCATGTTCACAATCAGTGCTATGATGGTGTATGGAGCAATTGCTGTAAGTATCTATGAATAGCTCTCAGCACTAATATTTCCTGTTTTCTCTCAAGATTAACAAATTACTTTCATTTTGTCTTTCTAGCATCGAGTTGGCTGGCTGATTCCATTCTTCTGTTACCAGCTTTTTGACTTCGTCCTCAGCTGTCTGGTGGCCATAAGTTCTCTCACATACTTGCCAAGAATAAAAGACTATTTGGATCAGCTAGTGAGTGTCTGCAGAAGTAGTCCTAAAGATTAGGGTGGTGCCATGGGGGAGGGGGACATGGCGGATTGCCCACTGCTGCCTAAGAACAAGATCCGACTGGAGCAGGAGATGTAAGGCTGGGGCAGGTGCCGCTGGGGCTTTTTGGTCTGGTGGACTTTATTTCTATGGCATTTCCCCCAGTTAAAACCAGTTGTGATTGGTTAGGTATAGAAGCAGCTGACTGGCCCAGAGTGGAAGTTGCCTCTGCCCTGTGCCTTCGAACACTATATTTCAGGGTCAGTTGCCAGCAAACATTCTTGACACTCCCCGAGCTGAGTAAACAGGTTTCTAAGAGTGGATGTGCTGCCGGCTTCTAGTGGAGTTCCTTTTGCAGGTAGAGGAGTGCCTCTACTGCAGCGCAGCACCTCTTAGCTACCTTGAAAGGGCTAGGATTGCTCTGGCTGTGTGAATTGTTTTGTGATGGAGATGAAATCATAGCTACTCATTTGCAAAATAACAGTTTGCATACACAAAACTCATACACACACATCTACACTCACATTTCTTTGCATCCTGAGATTTTACTTAAAAAAAACCCTCTTTTACTTAAGTGTTTAGCAAATTATACCAAGGGTTGCAGGTGTCTCCCTTATCTAACATTACTTAACATAGGCTTACTGTCTGTACTGATAGTGGATGAAAATTAAAACTCAGTAAAATGCCATAGCAACTTCTTAAATTTATTTTAAAAAGCAAATCATATATTTTGTCTAGCCCATTGTTATATGACTTCCATATCACTATTGATGTCTTTGTGTCATGACTTCTGCTTCAGCGCTACTGAAATACCTGCTCCTCACTGGTTACCAGAATGGGTTGTTGCTATATTGAGATGGACTTGTATAACCCTGCCTTTACGTTTCCAAGTAAAAACAGTCTTTATGGAAACTTGGCAAAACTAGGGTTTGTTTCATCTGATTTTCATCACAATAATGCAGAGATTTACAAATGAAGGCAACAGTAGTTGGGTCATGCTTGTAGTTAAGAATAACTTGCATGTGCCGACAAGCTCTCAAAAGTGTTCACCAATGTAATTCTCAAATCTTACTATTTCCTTTACTAGCCAGAGTTCCCATATAAAGATGACCTTCTTTCCCTTGATTCAAGCTGTCTTCTGTTCACTGTTTTGGTGGTGTTTGTCTTGGTCATCATTTTAAAGGTAAGTTTGGAGGATTCTGTATTCCATATTTAGGGCACACCAGTGCTCACTAATGTGCTGTTGCCAAAATCAGCCTGTGTGAAGGCTAAAACAGACAGTTGGTGCATCTGGACCGTCCTTTCAATTGCCTGTCCTGGGTAGGAGTTCTTGATTGCTCCTTTATCTGAGATCCTTTAATTGAACAAGAATACATAGTTGGCAATTATGATTTCATAAGTAATTAATTCCTTCTCCCCACAGCTCTTTCACTTAGGTGTTTGTTTTGCTCTCCTGTATATCCATTCAGCTGATACTGATATGTCATCCAACTAACTGAAGATAATTAAAATATATTCCGATACCCAAGTGGTGCTTGTTCCGTGACCACCTCCAGGGGGCAATACAGTTATAGCTGCAGCTGTCCTTAGTTTCACAGAAAGTGATGCCACTTATTTCTGCTGAAATGAACTACTTAATTGGTTTTGTTAACATAGTTTCCAAATACAAATGTATTTTATCTCTTGTGTTGATGTGCCCACAAATCAGCTGCTATTTGATTCAATGTTCTTTCTCTCCCACCCTTTTACAGGCCTATCTTATTAACTGTGTATGGAACTGCTATAAATACATTTGCAACAGAAACTTGCCTGAAATAGCTGTATATCCTGCATTTGAAGCACCTCAGCAGGTAACATATTCCTTAGACCTGACTAACTAAGCAGTCATTCTAATTTTGAGTGCTATATCCTTTTAACCCCCTTCATTGCTTACAAGCTTTAAATCTGCATGTTCTTTGGCCAAGTAAATATAATGGCTACCATAAACTGTATTTATGGAAATATAATTGGTGACAGCAGTGTGTATTGCCCAAAGTAATGTTTGAGACCAAGGCATAGTATCAGTGCATTGTTTTTTTTTCCAGGATCAATGCATGCATTAAATAAAATAAGAGTACTTCAGATAATGAATTTCCCTGGAGCTCACAGAAGTTAGGAAATTCTGTTAATCTTTCTGCACTGAATTCTTATAATGTAAACTAATTGATGGTCATTTGACATTTGATGTGCAGCCACTGCTAGTATACATGAAGGGAATGAGTTGGGAAGAAAGTTTATTCATTTGGTATTCTGATATTAACATTTATCCTTTTGGGGAAAGTTTGAACGGATGTTTTCTGGAAGGATGGATGTAGAATTCACACTGTACTCCTAATTACAAAGGAACCTGCCTTGTGCTAAAACAGATTATTGGGCCATTTTTAACTCAGCATTGTTGACACAGACTGGCAGCAGCTGTCTTGATTTCAAGCAGGATTCTTTCCTAGCTCTACCTGGAGATGCCAGGTATTGAACCTATGAATATGTACATGCAAAGCAAGTACTGTACCACTGAGCTACAGTCCTTCTCAGTGTAGTTTTTTAAAATAGAATAAGAATGCAATCATATGCATGTTTAGACAAAAAAAGTCCTAGAACTCTCAGCATTCCCCAGGTAGACATTTTGGCTGGGGAATACTGGGAGCTTGTAGGACCTTTTGACTGTCTAAATATGCATAGGAATGTACCCTAAATGGTCATTTGGGCTGTGCCTTCTTGGGTGGAGCAGTCATGTAAAAGTGACTCTCTCTCTAGATTCTGTGGCAAAATGGTAAGAACACTTAGAAAATGTGTGCACTGTTTGTTTTATGCTAATTTGCAATATTGCAACAGTGGAGGAAGGCACTCTTTGCCCAGCTATTCTGATATAAATGTTGAAAATAACCACTGCTTGGTAACTTCAGTACTGAAGTGCAAGCTGTCTAGAATAGCTGTGCTACCCTTAAGGCTAAAATCTTCCTGCAAGTATTTTGATAATCCATAGAGATGTCGGCTGCTTGTGACATTAAACGAGAAAATAATTTGTCTTTCATGTGGCAGTACAAAAGCTCTGTCATGGACCATTATAAAAGAGTTGGTTAGGACAAGATTTTCAAAATCTGGTGTTTCATAAACAAGCAAACAGACCAAATCCCCTGCTTTTCCATTACAGTATGTCCTGCCAACCTATGAAATGGCAGTGAAGATGCCAGAGAAAGAACCTCCACCTCCTTACATACCAGCCTGAAGCAGTGCAACATGTGGTGAAATACCTATACCAGCTTCATTTTTTATACTGCAAGACTGCTTTAAGTATTCAAGGCTTTAGGAGCAACACTATATGGTTGAGAGGCATTTGATATAACCTTACTAAACAAAATTCGTACGGGAATGATTCTTCCACCCCTTCTTGGTAGCTTAATTTTATTCATCCCCTTAATCCTCTTACACAGTTACTGCCTTAAGGCACTTGTGTGTCCCTCTATAACTTTATTCACATGTATTAGCTGTTTCATTTAACTTGGATCAGTAAAAATTAGTCTAGAAGATAGCTGTTCACAAGATCAGACATTGTACACATTCAGAAGGACAATCTGGTCAGATGGCAAGATAATAGTGTTTTTATTTTTATTTTTTTGTTTTTTAGTGGGGAAAGGAGTGCAAATGTGGTATATAATTATATCTATGCATTTACTTATCACTTTCTCCTTTATGTTATCTTTTACTGTGTTATCCTATGCCTTGAAACAATATTTTCAGGAAGCCTAAAGTTGGCACTGCAGTTTGAAATTTTTACCATATGCTGTGAATGCAGGAAAAGTGCACACAGAAATTACATTTGTGTCAGTTGCATGCTTCTAATCTGTATGTATTTTCATCTTTGTTTATACATGATGCTTTAATAAATCTTGTTTAAAAAATAATTTGCCGGCAGTGGTGATGGTGTAGGATTTCATCAGTCTTTGCGTTAATTCAGAATAATTTTCAAATGTCTTTGCCTGCAAAAATAAAATCCATATATTTTAATAATAGTTCTATGCCTCCATGAAAAGAAATTTGGCCAAATATATGTATATATTGGGAAAATATACTGTAAAATATTGATATTTCGATGAGAAATTGCTTTCATAACTTTCTGAACTGTCAATCTACTGTTTTCTGATTAGGATATATGAAGATCATTTCATCATGGGCCAGGAGAATATATTGTGATTATATATGTCTTTACCTGTGGGTGGGTGAGAGTTCAATAATTCATTCTTATCTGCAAACATAATTTAATTAGCTTGGATTAATCCAATCTAGTCAGCCTATAAATAGAAATAAAATAACACCCAGGTGGGTCAGTGAAGTGTGAAGGTGGTAGAATGCTGATGTAAAACATCAGTGACAGTGTTCATATTTCAGTGGCCACCAACTGCCTTGGTCTGGGTTGCATTTGATTCCTGGGACTGGTTCTAACATATGTGAAGTTGCTTCTTCATATAAGAAGATGAAAAACATAAGATGGGAAACTGGCCTGTGGTTGATCCCCATGTGACCCCAGCCAGTTGTCCTGTTCTCCACCCAAGTTGCATTAAGGCATTATCAACCCCCTTACTGGTTCTAACGGAGGCTTCCCCAAGCCTAACTGCAGCAAGGAGAGCAGTTTGGGAGGGAGGGCTCTCCCCAGCACTACCCCCTTGAAAATTTTCCCTCATTTCAATCCAGCTTTCTGGCGGTGGGGGGGAGGGGGGAGAAGAGTGTATGGGGTGGGTGGACAATCACACTGAGGGGCCAGATGCCAGTAGTGTAGTGGCCCTGCCCACTAAGGGCAGGCATGTGCCCCTACATGGTTATCTGGAAGCACTTTGGCCCTCAGGATGAACACATTCCCCAATCTCATAATTCTGTGCAAAGGATGAGTACTAACTAAGAAATCTTCCAAGAGCTTCTAGTTATGCAAGTCTTGCATTTTAGCGACAGCTGGTTAAGAAGAGTTTTGCAGCTCAATTAGGAATCTTCCTCTAAATTCTGAACTGCTTGCTTGCTTCATGATCTGGATTAATAACTTAAAAGGGTACTGGTAAACATAGGCACCACACAACACTATCTTTCAATTCCAGTGTCTTATTTGTGCTTGCGTAACATACATTCCCTATGTTCTCAGGCATACTATATGATGAGACTGGTGAGCCCATTCTTCTTTAATGGGCTGAAAAGCCCAGAAAAGAGATAAGAAATTGCATGCTAAAGCAAAGCATGTCATGATTCTGTAGCATCTTTAGACGAAAAACTATGGCTAATATTCCCAGGGAAGGTGTGTGAAACCGTTGCTGTCTGAATTGAGCATTCCTCGGTTGGGGACCCATCACGGAAAAGGCCCTTTCCCTTGTTGCCACCCTCTGAACCTTCTTTGGAGGAAGCACTGAGGAGGGCCTCCAACATTGATTACGATACATGAGCAGGTTTATCTGGGGAGACACAGTCTGTCCGGCTTCTGAGGGGTGTAAGACTTTATAGGTAAAAACCTGCACTTGCACATGGGCTTGCCATGTACAGGCAGTCTGTGCAAAGTGGGCCAGCATCAGGGTCCTATGCTCAGCTCTACTGCTCCCCCTGATCTGCCTGGCCACTGCATTTTGTACAAGCTGAAATTTCTGAACCAACTTCAAAGGCATCCCCCATAAAGAATCCGATTTGTATTTATTCTCCTCTCTCATGCTAGAATCAAGGGTCATCCCCTGCAGCAGAATAGTGAGGTGGTCAGGACAGGCTCAGTGGCAGGATACATGACACAACTGCAGGCTGTGTTATAAAGTCTAGTAAACCAAAGGCTGTGCCTTGGCAGCTTGCAAAGTGAGACACTATCAGATGCTAAATATGGGAGCTGTTTCTAGGGAGACAGCTCTGGTTAAGGGGCTGCCTTGTTAATCTATTTTTTCATCATTTTAATATATATTTTTTCACCTGATTTTGGCCCTAGGGAGGGTAAAATAGTGTATTTGGGATTAAAATGTATTTATGTTGAATAGGAAGCAATGGTCCTATGTCCCTGAACAGCACCTAGCAGTGTAGGATACTTCGGATTCCCAGGTCTGAAGTTGGAGAAAGCTTTCTGGCCTCAGAGCTGGGAATCTGCACTCAGATTCCCCTTCCCATGCAGTCAGCATGGAAAAAACTGTGCCAGCTGCCTCTTAAGTGCAAATGGAGAGGGCATTCTGGGAAATAGGGAAGAAGGAAACTGCAGAGGCCTTTGTCCTTTGCAGCCTCTTTCCTCCTCTGAAGCACCTCAGCTGGATGGCTGAAGCCAGCTGCCTAACAGAAAGGTGAGTAAGAGGAGCAGGGGGGGAAGATCACCTTCACCACTCCTGCTCTGCATAGGATGCCCATAAATTTGGAAACCGACCAGAGAGCACATGGGCTCTGGGGCCATATATAAGTGTAATAGATAAATTCCTCTGGGTTTGGAAGCTTACAGGCATCTTGATTGGTTGCACCCTAAATTAGTTTTAACTTGCCTTGGAATTTGGATTAGACACATCCGCAAATGGAATGGATTAGACACATCAGCATCTGCATGATCACCCCTAAGAAAATCCAGAGTTTTCAAAAAGTAATTCAGAAATTGTTAACTGAATATTATAAAACTCCACAGCCTTCCATTTTAGTGGAGAAGAAGCTCTCTCCTGGTTTATTACATGCAATATGCATTCTGACCAATACTAAATTTCAATTGTCTTCCTGTAATAGCTTCTTTCCTTCTTGTCAGATGGTCCTGTTGTTAATGAACTCTGCCCATTTTTATTGCCTGACTCTTTAGATATTCCTTCTAATATAGGATAAATCTACATATCTTAGGACCATGCTGCTGGAAAAACCACCTTCTCTATGTAAGCCTGTCTGAGTCTTAATATTTCCTGGAGAAGGTGCCTTCAGAAGCTTTGGTAATGGCGACCCAAGACAGGCCCATTTCAGTGGCCATTCCCAGGCTGTGGAACTCCCTCCCCAGTGAAGCTCTGTTCCTTCCCTTTCACTTCATTCTTCTGGCAGGCAATTCCCCTGCCTTTAGCCTCTGAGAAAGTTTGCTGGTCTGTTTTAAATATTATTATACTGTTTTAATATAACAATATACTATAAAATATAGTAATATATTTTAATAGTTCCCACCATAATTATTTTATTCTTACTGTATTTTAATGTACTATTTTAATCATTTTTCACTGATCCTATAACCTGCCTTGCCAGCCTGTGTTTGGCAGAAAGGCCTGGTACAAATGAAATAAATAACCAATAGTTCCCTTAATAGCAAACCACCACAAGGGTCTGCTGCAAGAGAATTTACAAGCAATGTCTAAGTTAAAACTCTTTGTTCTACAAAGGAAGGAAAGAAAGAAGGGGGGGGGGAGGGAAAAGGAGTCTTTTGAAATGTTCAACAATGTGTTTGTGCAGCACACCTAGTCCAAAAACCTTTTAATTAGCTTTTCTAGGCTTAAACAGCATTTACCAGGGTGAATGCTAGCTTAATTTTTTTTTTTTAATTCATTGGTTAGAGATGGCGTTTTGAAAGTTGCTTCCCCGCAATAAATTTCCCTGTTCAAAGTGGGGGGAGGGGGGCTACCCACATGCTGCATATATCTATTGTTATGTCAAAAGAAAGAGTAAATGTTCTTTTGATTCAACGCTCCCAGCACTACTACCACCTCTCATTTTCTTGTCAAGACTCTTATTAATTTTGAGATTAGATTTTTCTCAAGAAATACAGCTTTCGGGGAGTTTGAGAGAGAGCAGCTTTCTACAGGGCTAAGAGATATTCATGATTGAGCAATCACAGTAAGACTTGGAACAATTGTGTTATTTGCATATTGTCTGAACTGTATAGATCAGGTTGAACCCCATCCCTACACCTGCCTTCCAATGGGGTGGGAGAAGGGAGAAAATCAATCAAATTCAACCAAAATCTTTATTATGGTCACAGATCAGCATGCAGAAAATACAGAACAAGGCAAAGTATTTTATAGCTAAAGATGAGTATCTGCACTCTTCTGGAACATGCGACTTGCAATCTGTTCTGACCTGCTTTACATTTCTCGCACCATTTCCCCAAATGAAATTGCCCCTTAACCAAAATGCTATTGTTGCAAAAGCGAGGGTTCTTCCCTGCTGTCCCAGTAACAGGGTGAGGTTTTTCAACCAACAGGAAGAAACTTTATTGTGAAACAAAGGGAACATCAGCTAACAAAAGCTGAGAAGTTCCCAGAGCAAAGGGAACCATTCTCTTTTATACACATGTAGGCAAAAATCACTTGAAGAGCGAAACCCATTGGATGACTTTTGTTGCCTTAGCAGCTGATTTGCTGTTGCCTTGGATGGCATGCTGACATAGTATTGCATATATGAAGGGGACCCCCAGAACAGCATGTATCCAGTTGCTCACAAAACATGGGCACACATTTTCCTGGGCAATTTGTAGAATTTCTTTATACAGACACCACTCCCACACTATCAGCATGACTGGTAGCAACATCTCACGCATCACCTCTGAAAGCTATTAATAACACCACTGCCTGGAGAAAACACTTCAGTCACAGAAATAATGTGTGGAAAACTGGTTAAGGTCCCCTTCCACCCAGTAGGAGAACCTCAGTCGCCCCTAACTGTGTTTAAGCGTTGAAACAGTTCTTGAGAGATCCTGCATAGTAGATCTTTGTCATGCCTAAATTTAAATAGGAACATGTATTGCATCATTTCTTCCTGGGGCCTGAATTTCAGAGTGAGAATTATCCTGTGGACAAATATTCCACATTTCTTCCCACTCTCTCCATCTTCAAGACAGATCTCATTGGTTTTATTATGTTTTATGTTTAATATGTTTTATTGTATTATGAAGTATTAACCTCAGGTTTGCTAGCTAAAAATATAGAACTGTCCTAATGTATAGAACATCAGATTCAATCCCTTTATTATATTGATAGCCTGCTTTTTTCTTATAGCACTCAATCTTAACCCCACAACACCAACCCTGTAAGGTGGTTATTCTGAGAGTCTGTGGCTGGCCCAAAGTCATCCAGTTGTCTCCATGGCCAAGTTGGGTCTAGAACCCAAATCGCCTGAGTCCCAGTCCCACGCTCTTAAGCACTACACCACTCTGGCTCTCAGTTTCCACAACCATCTATTAAGATTCAATTTTGCACTTCTTTTAAAAACAGGTACAGGGTGAGGTTTAGCCAGTCTTCAGAGAACTGTCATTAAACCTACTGGGCAGGTTCACATGACACTCTAGCTGCCTTAAGAATTTTATCCTTGTGCCCAACCAGACCATCAGACATGCTGAGGCTTGCCCCCCCCCCCCCCCCCCCCCCCCCCCCCTTCTGCAGCATGGGTATGTTATCAACATTGGCACCATAACAATAGGCTCCCAGGCCAAAATGGACTTTCCAGCCATAGGCTATGTTGGGTAGGCTTATATTCAGGATGAAGGACCTAGTATCTTGGGCTAGCAGTGTGAGAGAAGAATGAATGCTGGGATTCTTGTGGAGAAAAGGTAAGGCTTTTTCCTTAAGAGTTTAAGCAAACGAACCCTGCAAGAAAGATGACCCATTGTCCTGGAAATTACCCAAGTAACAGCTACCAAGCAGAGCCCTAAACCCAGCCATTGATTTCTGTGGTGGTATCTCAGTATCTCCAATATTGCAAGTTGCATTTCCTTTCCCCATTGAAATCAGTTAGGAAGATATCATTAGAAGCCCACTACATGCCACTAACTACCACAATGTACTCTCCGCTTGAATACTCTTTATTCATTCATTCATTTTTCCAGCTTGAAGGAAGCTGGGTAATTCAGTTCCATTGGTATTGCTGATATGCATTCTCAGGATCTGAAACTTGCATCTCTAGAATTTTAAAAAGAGTTTGTTTATGTAACAATGTTCCATGCAGACAAGCCAACACTTGGCCCAATGCTTTCTGGCATCACACTGAGAACATACGGCATTTTGTTACCTTTTTCTAAACATTGATTTACTTGAATCTGAATGACTTACATTCACCACATATAGGGCAGAGCATGTTGAATTCAGCTAACACGTGAGAGCTTTTATAAGTAGTGTTTCTAATTTACCTTTCAGTTAACTGATGGTCTTAGGTCTTCCTCAAGTTAGATTTAAATGTATGTACAGTATCTGCAGAGATGTTTGAACAAGGCAAAGAAAATCTCACTTTCCTGGTTGTGCACTTCCTCAGGAGATTTCATTGATGCTGTTTGCTTGTACCAAAAATTAGAAATGTTCCATTCTCCCTATTCCACTGTGCCCTATGTTTTATCTCTGATACAGTTTTATACCTTGGTGGCCCAGTATCACTGCAGCTAGCATCCTTGGTAAGTTGAAGCCAGCTATCCCAAAGCCTGGCACCTGGAACACTCAATTGTTGGCTGAACCTTTCCAGCTACTGCATGTTTGTATTTCCTCCTGTAATGAGTCTGTCTCCCAAACACTGCGGCCACTGAGAAGGCTGCCCAAAGAACTTGGGTGTTCCAAATGAAACTGCTGTCTGGGAAAGGATGGAAAGAAACATTGACTCTGCCCACTGCAGACCTCTGGAAACATCTCCTCAGCCAGGAACTTCTTAAGAATTTGCTGTCTCAAGGCAAAACACACAGACAGGGGCAGTAAAGAGGATAAACTGGTGCTCACACTGAGACAGCTAATATGCTCAGCCTCCCAAGGATCTGTGCCTGTTGCCTTTTCCTAATTCTGCCTTCAGCTTCAGGTGCCCATGACTACCAAACCCAAAGGCGCTTGGACTCATTTTCATGGCAAGGCAAGACCTTTGGTAGGACACCTGCAGCATCAGCAGATGAACCCAGCTCCCAAGATGCTGAGAGCCACCCTTCACCAGTCTCTACTGCAGGTAACTTATGCTTCTACATGGTGGGCAAATGATCTGAAAAGAGCCTAGCTAGCATAGAATGGAATATATGGCTAGGTCAGGCTTATTTTCTAGGTATAACCATATATCTTCCATGTATCAGTCTTGCTCCTCTACTTACATAGTGGTCCAGGTGACCACCTATTTGGGGTCTGGCCTGCAGGACATGTGAACTGGTGCGTCTTTTTTTCTTTTTTTTGGTAGAGCTGTGACGATGGTAAGTCTTTATCTACAATACTTGGCAAGCTTATTAGGAATGCTGAGAAGGAGTGAGGGTATATCACAGACATCTGAACACTTAGTAGAAGTGTTAAGCATACTCCAATGCGTATCCCAGAAAGCCAATGGTAAGCAGTATCAAAATGTATTAATGTGTTAGAGGCATGGGCCATCAGAAGGTGTGTCCCAGTTACAGGATCCTTGTCTGTGCAGAACCGCACATGCCCCTAAATCAAAGACTACAGAGTGTCAATACATGTCTGCAAGTGTCCATAAATCCTCTATATTTTATACTTTTAACTTAAGCATGCAAGGCATTTTGTAAAAATCACTGCTAACCCCCCCCCCCCGCCCCCTCCAATCCATCCATCTATCTGATTCAAATATACTAACAATTGATCAGGCCTAATCATTCCACAGAATCTCAAGGAGCAAGCATTACCATATCAGTTGGTAAGGGTGCACTCATACATGCATGCTCTCCACTTGACATTTGTAGCATCACGTGTCAACTTGCAGGTGTGTAAAAGCTGCTACAACATATGCTGTCACAAAGCAGCTTTTGCTTCACTTACAACAACATAGGATATATGCAGCTATGAATCATCAAGCACCAAATGCCTCCAGAAATAAATAGGAAGAGCCCCTTCAATAAAAATGCACCCCTACAGCCCAATATGTTATCCCACACATATGACTAGAAAAGTAGCATAGCTCATGCAATAAATGTTCAGTCTGTCTCAATTTTAATGGAATATTGTAATGCCTGCAGGTACATTTTTATAAAACAAATTCCTCTCACCGTCCTCACTTCCTGCTTCCAACCCAGGAAGGAAGAGGCAGTAAAGCTAGCTAAAAGAAACTAAGCCTTTGTTCTGGCAAACAAACTTGAAATCAGAGACCCTCATCTCCATGTGCTATCAGGCTAATAGCAAATGGAGAAAATCCTTGCTTATGGATAAATAATTCTAGATCCACTTCTGGCATAGTGGAAGATCCATGTATGTGCATATCAGCTTTAAGACTATGAAGGAACATCTGTCATCTAGTCTGGATTTTGACTGAGAATGCACTGTACAAGTCAACTGGAAAGGGGGCAGTGGCAATTGGGAATGGGAGTTTGCAGGGATTCAGGAAAATGCTTCCTACAGTGGAGAGTGGGTAATGGATTTCCTTACTGTTGTTTTTCCAAATGTTCCCTATATTTCTCCTCCTAGTATCAAGAGATTCCATTGTGGCATTATTGTCATCACTTTAAGAAATCTTTCTATTTTAATTGCATTTTACTTCCTCAGAATACTGCATGAAAATGGTATAACAACTGTGCCATGCTTGCTTTGTATGAAATTTGGACTTGCGTTTTAGATTCTGGTTTTTTGTGTGGCTTTTGTATTGTCTCCTGTTGTTTTGTTTTTTATACACATCTCTCTTCCAGACAATTCATTAAATTCGATCTTCCGGACATTCCCAGACTATTGTAAACATCATACTTTTCATTGTTCAGTGTTTATACATCTTGGAACAAAACAATATCAGCACAGCACATGCTTTCCAAGCCTACACCTTAATTTTATTAGATTTGCAAGGTCTTGGTAAGAGATGGAATGTAGGAAATTTCTCCCTGAATATCTGGTGTCTGTATATTTTCTTTTATATTAGGAAATATGGTTATACTACAGATCTGAAGTTCTGTAGTTAGAACACACCATGAAGTCACCGTATTTAGTAATAATGAAGAATGGGAAAAGTATAGGGAATTTGAAGACGAAAGCCCACGGTTTGTATAAATGCTACTGTAGATGGCTTTCCTCACATTCTATTGCAGACTTTACCCAAAGCTGTTAGGATAGTCTCTGGTCTTTCATGATAACAATAAGATATATAAAATAAAAAATAAAAATGATGTCATTTTGGAACTAGTACTTCCAGAATACAATAATCAGAATTTAGCTGCCACCCCATACACACTGTGGTGAGGAAAATCCATTCAGCTCAGTGAATTCTTTCCTAAGTTCAGCTGAATAATTTGCTATTTTGTGTTCTGCATTTTCTTCCAGAGGCCATTTGCAGGAGTCAGCCCCTTGATCTCGTGTTTATAATAGACAGTTCCCGCAGTGTCCGAGCTCAAGAGTTTGAAAAAGTGAAAACCTTTTTGGCCAAAATGATTGACAGCTTGGATATCGGGGAAAGAGCTACCCGCGTGGCAGTGGTAAACTATGCCAGCACAGTCAAGGTAGAGTTTAATCTTCAGACATACTTCGACCACACCTCCATGAAACAAGCGATATCCCACATCAGTCCCTTATCTGTGGGTACTATGACCGGTCTGGCCATCCAGACTGCCATGGATGATGTTTTCACCAAAGAAGCAGGAGCAAGAGTCTCTTCCCTTGGCATTCCCAAGGTGGCAATAATTGTGACAGATGGTCGGCCTCAGGATCAGGTGCAGGAGGTGGCTTCCAGGGCTCGAGCTTCTGGGATTGAGATCTATGCTGTTGGAGTTGGCCGAGCAGACATGCAGTCTTTAAGGCTGATGGCTAGTGAGCCTGTGGATGATCATGTTTATTATGTGGAGACGTATGGTGTGATTGAAAAGCTGGCTTCTAAATTTAGAAAAACTTTATGTGGTAAGATGTATTATTTCAATCATACTTTTTCTGGATTATATGTTGTTGTTTTGGGTTTTTTTCCCTTGTTCCCTTTGCTAATGAAAATGCCTCTACCTTGTATTTAGGTTTCTGGACTAGCCATTTTAATTTTAAGCTCATCAATTTGCCTTGATGGAAATGGTCGTTTTTGAGACCGACCATGCCGACCATGGCAGCCATTTTGTCAGAGCACCCATCACATTCTCTCAATATTCCAAAGGTGCCTGCTAACCCCCAAAAGTTGTCTTTTGCTTAATATGTCATAGGATCTGCTATGAATTGACCCAGTATGTCCTCCACTCTGCTGGAAATCAACAACCATGCATGTGGGAGAGGGAGAGACAAAGAGATTGAAAGAGAGAGAAATAAGAATTGTATCTTTGCTGAAATTAACTTTTCCAGCAGGACAGAGCTGACTAGTATTATCTCTCACATACATCTCTACTTATATGAACTACTGAAATAATTAGAACTAACCCCTCCATCAAAAAACCAATCAACTAACCAACCAACCCACTCAAAGACAAATTTCAGGATTTTGTCATATGGTTTAGGGCAGGGGTGGGCAATTAATTTTCCTATGGGGTCACATGAGAAAGTTTGACAGTTGTTAAGGGCCGGACCAATACACTTACAGCTCTGCTCAATATATATCTCTATAAAAACAGTAAATGAAACATTACAATGATACAATGAAAATGTGGGGCACAGAACAACACTATTTAATGAATATTCACAAAAACATTAACATTACATGAAAAGCAATAAATTCAATTCAATTTAGCAGATAAATTTCAATTTCAAAATAAAAGCAGTGCAGTTGTATTGCTTGCATCTATATTACGACGATATATATTTGCATTAATTTGCCAGTGACCTCATGCGGGCCAGTCAAGGGTCAGCCATCGGGCCGGATGTGGCCCGCAGGCTGTACAATGCCCAGGTCTGGTTTAGGGTCTTGAATACAAGCTTCATACTATGGCCCAGATGTGGGGTCTTGTAACTGAATGCTGCATGCATTATTCTCTGTCCATGTCACTCATAGTATGGGTCATCTCATGTAAGTTCAACACAGTAAGAGTGGGAAGTGACTTTGACACCTCAAAGTCCACGGGATTTCTGCTGGTGCTATGTGGCACTATCCACACACAGAAACTGTAGGCTCTTGATGTGGTAAATGCAGCAGGATGCTACCTTTCCAAAGCTAGTACTTTTTAGATGTGTTGGACAGCAATTCCTATCTTCCCAGCCAGCATGGCCACTAAGTCTTTGCGATTATTTAAAAGTTCCTTGGCTGAGGTGGTGCAGTCCCTAAGGAGGCTATGCTACCTAATCCAACATGGAGCATCCCTTGTTTAACAGTGTCCACAACTAAAAGTGATGCACCACATCTACACTTGGACAATGGGTTGAAAACTAGCCTCTGCTCTGAGGTTTTGATTTGGGACACAACTTTGATTTACTTCATCAAGCTGCAGATGCCTCTGCTCATGGGACTTGTAACTGTGAGCAAACCTGTATGAGCAGTGACAGCTCCTGGCACTGTGACTGCTATGAAGGGTACACAATGAATTTGGATAAGAGAACCTGCTCTTTGGAGCAAGCTGAAAGACATGCAGCCTTGGCATGTCCTCAAGAAACTATCTGGGCTTCTGGACACTGGGAAATTTACTATGCTACCTGTTGAACCTTAACATCCTCTTTGCCATTCCTCCAGTACACCTACCTACCTTAACTTTCACATCTCTCCTAGAACGGGACATCTGTGCTTCTGGAGCCCATGACTGTGAGCAAATCTGTGAGACTAGCAACAGTGGATCCTGGCAGTGTGGTTGCTATGAAGGGTACACTCTGAATCCAGATAAAAGAACTTGCTCGAGTAAGAATTTGGCCATTAGCACATTTTGTGAGCTCATTCAAACAACACATGAACAGCTATTGTCATAATTCCATAACATGGTTGTTAGCATATGGTGCAATGTGGCCTATTGCCACTGTGCCATGAACGTCGGCATACCCACCTGCCTGACCTCTCTCCTAGGAAGGGATCCCTGTGCCCCTGGAACCCACGACTGTGAGCAAATCTGTGTGAGCGGCCATGGCTCCTGGCACTGTGACTGCTATGAAGGGTTCCTCCTGAATCCAGATAAGAGGACTTGCTCAAGTAAGGACGTGGCTGCGTTTTCAGTCAAGACATTTTGTGAGGGAAGTTCATTTTTGAAAGCAAGCAACTTGCTTTCTTTAACTTTGCTTACGTAATTTCAGTGATCTTTAAAACAAGACAGGTCATTATTATTAGTCCCATATCGAAGATAGAGCTGAGCTGAGGCAGTGGCTTCACTTAGGCCAATGGTGAGTGAATCATGGCTGAACTGCAATTTGAACCAAATGGCTTCCCATATCATAGCTGTTATCTGTAGCCACCAAATCTCTCACTAAATAATATTCAGTGTGGGTTTTCAAGCAATTCCTCAATAGTATGGTGTAGTATGTTTATCCTGGACCAGGATAACCTAGGTTCAAATTCCCCCTCAGCCAGAGAGTTCGCTAGCTTTAAGCTTAACCAATTTATCTGTATGGGTTTTGGGGGTGCAGGGGGAACCATGTTTGTCCTCCTTGCCTCCTTGAAGGCAACATGAGATATAAATATAATAAATAAGTGTATGCACAAAGACCGCCCCTTTTCTTTTCACATCATACATACTAATAACTTTTCAGTTCTCAGAGTGTCAGCCTTCAAGGTAGTCAAAACTGTGTCTACACAACAGGGATGTAGAAGCTGGTTTGGGGACGACCCCAGATTTGCAGAAGCACATAAGTCTGAGAAGAAAAACTCAAGCCACTCACCTCAAAGCAACCCAGGACTAGGGCACTTGCTTTGTGTTCATGGGATGCTGATGGACTGTTGGAAGGGAAAAACAGAAAGTCAGGTGGCAGCGGGGATACAATGAACAGGAACAGTCGACACTGCAACACTTTATTGCAGGTCTCACAAGTGAGTACTATTGCTCAGCTCTTTTTCTAGGGAAACATTTGTAGAACCGGAATCCATGATTGTGAGCAGATGTGTATTGCAGCAGCACTGTGACTGCTATGAAGGGTCCCCCTTGAATCCAGTTAAGCTCAAGTGAAGCTCATTCAAAACATACTTGGGGGCATGGGGAAGGGCAGCATTAAACATGATTTTGCTTTTCTCTAGATAATTCTTCAGCCAGAGATGTCTGCGCACGTGGAATGCACAATTGCCAACAAATCTGTGTGCCTAGCGGCAGATCCCATCATTGTGAGTGCTATGAAGGCTTTGCCCTGAATGCAGACAAAAGAACATGCTCGAGTAAGACTTTGACAGTGACATCAAAAAATATATCCAGAAGGGCAAAAGAGATTATCCCTTATTTTGTAGAATGCATTTGGTTTTCACTGAGAAACCAAATTTTGGTATTCTAGTAGGCCTCTTGCTTACCTGAGGAAAATGGTGTTTAAGGAGGTTTTGACTGAAACAGCATCCCAGGCAGGAACGTTTCCTGGCTCAAAGAAGCATTAAGGATAAAAGCTAAGCTGATTGGATTTTTATCATATGGCAATTTAACAGCACTGAAGATTTGTGAGGGAAACTGTAGTCAGCTTCTGGGCCTTCAGTGAAGCTTATCAGCAGCAGACAAGAGAAGACAATACAATGTGAGGCAAAAAGGTTGTTTTAAGGACAGGAAGGAAATATAATAAGGCATGAGGGATCAAGGTAGAAAGTTATAAGGGAAAAAGAAAGAGGAAGACATAGCTGTCTGTAGTGACTCCCCTCACTCCCATGGGGGCTGTTGGCAGTACTATTTGGCCTAAATTCAGGTCTTTCTTTGTTTATACTGTGCCTAAATAGTTCCAGGCACTGTAAAAAGATGTAAAACTAGAACACGGGGGCTGCCTGCAGGTTTACAACCTTACAGGCACATCCCAGATTGTTGGGCAGAATAGCTATTGAGGGAAATAGTTCTGAGAAAGGAGAAACCAAATGGAAGTTAGTCGAGCTAAGACGATCAAGACAATCAATACATAACACCAGACTATGGTTTAGCAGTTCACAGTGTGCTTGAACCCATCACTTCCTCCCCTCTCACTGCGGTCTGTGGCACTGCAGTCATCCCCTGGTCCCTAAAGCTTTTGGGGGGCGTACAGCAAAGGAGGCCCTACCGTTAGGCAGAGTGAGGTGGCCAGTGCTGGGGTGTGGAGAGCATCAGCAAGGCATTGGGAGACAGAGCTGTGTGTGCTTGCTGGGCTGCCCTTTGCCTCCTAAGCTAGCCTCCTGGCTTCCATTGTGGTTGGAAATGCTGTTCCATCAGCAGTGTTGAAATGTTCAGCGGCCAGACCAGTCAACTTCTGCATATGGGGAGGGAGGCAAGGAGCAATCTGGTCATTGGCCTCAGGCACTAAGATGATTTGGGCTTAAACTGGGATAGGAGGGGGAAATGAGGAATTCCGAAAGAGCCATCATGCCAACAGCCTTCACTTCATGCAAAATTTAGATCCAATCCGGTATTTTTGGTGCTGTTGTTATTGCTAACCTGTATGCTTTGTTCTCTCTTCAGGAATATCAACAAGTTCTCTTTTTTCTATGACAAAGGAAGAGGCCTGTAAATGTAAATCTTTTGTTACATTTCACAAGTTGGCCACCTCATATCTTAAAACAATATCTACAAAATATATCCTTTCTCTGAAATCTCTTCATTTGTGGACATCTTGCTTTGTTTGGTACTTTTTGAACCAAATTTACTTGTGAGGTCAGCAGTGTTAAGACACCCCACATAAACAGGAACTCCTATTTCCTCTTCAAATGTCTGGGGATGGCAAACTTGCTGTTTTAAGATAGAAATGTGTTCAGTTAGACAAAGTGGGACTGACTTCTGAGTAACATGTGCAGGATTTCACTGTACATCTTTGACTACAGAATGAAAATGTGAGAACTGGTGCAGTCCAGTTGCATTCAGTTCTGTGGTGGCTGTTATGTGCCATCAAGTAATCTGATTTAAGGTGCCCCTATGAACAAATTGCCCTCCAAAATGACCTGTCCTTGACAGCCCTGCTCAGCTTTTAAAACTCAAGAATGTAGCTTTCTTTACAGAATTGATCCATCTCATAGCTGGTCTTCCCTTTCTTCTTCTGCCGTCAGCTTCCCTAGCATGATTGTCTTCTCCCGAGTATGGCTTTCCTGTAAATTGCAGGACCTTCCTAAATGGGATGGACTGTGTCATGGAAGGATCGAAAATTAGGTAGCAAGTGACAGTGCAGGTGAAAAGAAGAGATGGTCATCAAGCCTACCTTGCCTAGGGGACCTCAAAAGCCTGGAGATGGCCCTGTATTTTGAGTTACTTTAGTAGCGTTAAGGAATTGCATTACTATGAACTGATATATTCCTATTTATAGTTTGAAAAAATGTCAAACTTTCTCTCATATCTAAAAGTCTGGGCTCTAATCTGGCCAGATGTCACTGGCCGGTCAGTCCCATGGACCTCAGAAAGATTTGGCCCACTGAAACTAAGCTTGTTGAGACCACCAAGTGACCGTTTTCCTTAACTGTTGTCCACTAGATGATCTGTCTAAGAAATTAGAAAAAATCCAGTGAGGTGCATCCCTTGAACTAAAGTTTAAGTTCAAAATCTTGTCTTTTGATGGCACTTTGCAAGCTTTCATCAGCTTTTCAGAGAGTCGCTCCATTATTAAGGATCATGCAAGTGTTTAATGATGCAACTCATATTGTGCATATAATTGTGATTGATCAAAGAAAAATTATGCTGCATGCATATACAGCTATATCTGTATTTAATAATACTCTAAGATGTATGTATTAATACATTTCTTCCATAACTGAAATTGCATGCTCTATTTAACACTAAGTCTGCCTCCTCTTCCTCTTCCACTGCTGCCATTCCCATCATTTAAAGATCCAGATAAAGCTTTAATATGGATCAGGAACAATGGAGTCTGGACATTTCGGCTGCTTTCAAATAGATAGTTCCTAACCATTGCTTACTATTACTTGTTCTTCTGTTGCAAGTGTTGCATAAACTCACAGAATCCCACCTGCTTTAATGGATGAAATGGTTCCTGAGTTCTAATGAATTAAAGTTGCTAGAAGACACAAGCAGTAAAAGCCAAAGAACTGGGACAAAGAAAATGTGTGTATGTTCAGCAGTGAAAGCTAAAGGATTGGGACAAAGAAGGTGTGCATACATATGTACGTGCAAAACTGGCCAGAGAATATAAGCAATAAAATGTAGTTGATCAGTGGACTTTGGAAAAGGAAAACCATGGACAAAGAGATTTCCAAGATAAACCTAGAGCCTGAGGCAAAGGTTGCATAAGTTGCAGCAGGTGAAATAGCAGGGAAGACCTCTGGGGCAAGTTGATGAGCTTGAGCATCGATAAGATGATCCCAGTGCAACAGGTGTGTTGTCCCATATCATGCAAAAGCTTGCGAAAGAAGAGTATTTGAGACACCCCTAAATCCAAAGAACTCTAAGGAATACTAGAACATCAAAGCAGTCAGTCATATTGCATGTCCTGCTTCAGGAGATACCAGCTGGCTGGTGGATGTGGAATGTTAGAAGTGACTGAATAGAACTGCATTCCAGCTAAATAAAGGTGTTTGAGAAACTGCATTTGGATTTTGAGTCTCAGTCTATACTTCATCCCACGATCCCAGCTACATATTACACAATTGCAATTTTGTTACCACAATATTGGGATTTTGTAGCTTTTATTTATTTATTTATTTATATTTATTTATAAAACATTTTTATGCCGCCCCATTCACCAAAGCCTCGGGGCGGCTCACAACAATAAATTAAGACAATAACAATTAAAATATATACATTAGAATAAAATAAGCCGCCCTGGCCAAATAATAGTATTAACATTTAAAATGCTGCTTAAATAAAAAGGTCTTCACCTGGCGCTGAAAAACAAATAACGATGGCGCCAGGCAGACCTCTCTGGGGAGCGCATTCCATAACTTAGGCACCACCGCTGAGAAAGCCCTCCTCCGAGTAACCACCCTCCTAATTTCCTTCACTGAGGGCTCCCGGAGGAGGGCCTCTCCCACTGATCTCAGGGGGCGGCTGGGCATATATGGATGTAAGCGCTCCTTCAGGTAACCAGGACCCAAGCCGTTTTATTTGCATACATCCTGCTATATTCCATTCATACAAGGGGGCTTGATGTAGCTGTGGTGGGTGGATATAGGGAAGGATCAGGATTACCCAAGCAGCCATTTAAGAATGTGTGTGTCCCCCTTTTGATGTGTCCTGATGAATTAATGAATTAGTGCTATTTAGTGGGAAAAAGTTAACTGCCCATGGTGAATCTGAGATTGTGTGCTCTAGGGCTCTCTTCTGTCTCCCATGCTGTTTGGCTTTTCCATGAAAGAAATGAATGAGGTCACCTGGAAATCTGAGGACCCCCAATTCTGCTTCTCAGTTTCATCAAATTCATGTGATGCTGTGGAACTATTTAAGCAATGTCTAGGATCAGTCATAGTTATGGTCAGTAAAGTAAAAATCAAATTCAAAAAGGCATAGGCATTATTAGACCATTCAGCAGCTTTGGGAGATGCTGTACAACCTGTTCCAGATGGTCCTATTACAGAGCAGTTCTGTAGTTTGGGCTACAAACATTATGCATATATGGACCACTTTAAAATATTGCAAATGCAGTTTGTACCATTGTAGCATTGGAGAAGATGGTGTACAAATACAGGGTTAAAGAGAAAACTTGTATGTAGCTATAGAACTGCTGCTAGATAAGAGAACAAGAAGGAACCATGCCAAGGATGAGTGCTTGAACTACATCTTGAAAGAGTCATTTTAGATAAGGTATGAATAGAGGGAGGAAAATTCCCAGCCTTGCGAAGGGCGGAGGCCTATGAGAAAGTTGTCAGAGAATGAGGTAAACTATAAAAGCATTGTTCTAATTAAGTACTGCACAGTTCCAAGACATTCTGCCTTACAAGTGTAATAGTATGTCAACAGCCTTGTGTGCTGTATTCTTAATAAATATAGCTGGTTTGCTTTTCTTCAATCTGTTTGGCTCGTTTCATGCAGGATCTGACTGTAGTTAGGTTTGTTCTTATCTAGCCATATCCCTGGAGGCCCAAATGGCAATGTAGTGCTGAGGCCAGTGACATTTCCAATTTTGGCCCAGTTTCAAAAATCCTTGATAAGCTAAGCATGGGCAGGCTTTAGGCCTGCAGGATTTCCCCCACCCTGCTTTTCATTTTGCCCGTATAACCCTGAGCTCAACACCAACTGGAGCTTGGAACAAAAGACATACAACAAATAGCATTAAAGAACTGAGCTCAGGAATTTGTTCTGAGCTCCAGAACTGAATGGGGCTCACACGTCCTTCCACACACATATCTCCTCTTGCTTCCCTCAAGCTTTCTTCGCCTCAGTGGTATAAATCTGGAGGAGTCATTTCGTGTTACATCAATGATCAAAACAACTGGCACCAGAAATCCTTGCTGCTCTATCACGAATCACCCATAGATCAACTAGTAGATGCACAGTTGCTTTCTGCACATCCCTACTGTACAAGCAAACAGCTTAGATTTCAAGCAAGAGCAGGGTAGTGAGCAGAAAGGCTGAGGTGAGGTGAGGGAATCAGGTGGCAAAGAAAGGGGTGTCCCTGAGCAGTCACAGTTTGGCTTCCCTCCATGACTCTAACGCAGCCCCTGGCACTTTTCCTGCATGGGAATGTGTTCCTTGATAGAAATAAAGTTCTCTACTCATACTTTATTGCTAAGACATGTGGTAGAGGGTGGCAGACTGGGGGTGGGGAAGTCTCTAGAATTTCTGAGAGTTTCTGAAGGCTAAAGCTGCTTTGTCCAAAAGCGTCCTCAAAGAACCCAAGGAGGGGAGAGTTTTAACTTGGTAATATGCACCTGCCTGAACCCAACCCCTCACTCCAGATACAACCTCCCCAGGATGCCTGTTACTACTCCCTGCTCACCCCCTCTGGCAATGCTTCTTCCTACCACCATGCCAGGGAGAAGGAAGGAAGTTGGTAGGGAGGTAGACAGAAGATAATGTCCAGGAAAAATTGCTAAAATTACGTATGTGCAGCAGAACTAAGAAAAAGAATTAAAATGTTCCCACAGATCCCAAAAGGGTTGGCTGTCCCTGCTATAAGCTCTTAGGAACTCCAACAAGTCAGTTTCCCTCCTCATTCACTATCTCACCTTGCTTTTTTCATGATATTATCAACATTCTGTCCATTTTTGAAGTCACTGACACACATCTTGTTGAGCTCCCCCCCCCTTAATTTCTTTTCCTATCACTTCACTAACTAATATGCTATGCAAAGAATGAACTGAAAACAGGTGATCCTGGAGCGTTTTCTTGTGTATGCAGAAGACCATTTTATTTTATGAGTAGCCACATTTCATTTCCAAACTGATAAGACACGGTGCCAACCCAAGTTCTTAGAGGGAATAATGATAGACAAGCTGTCAAAGTTGGGAAAGCAGCCAGTAATAAAGCTAGAAAAGAAAGGGCAGCAGAAATTAAAGACAGGAATATGCATGCACAACTAGAATTTCTCTGTGTTTGAATCAACATTTACAAGTGGCACCTAACACTGAAGAAAACTGCTAACTGTAAAAATTCACAGAATAAATTTGGTAGAAGAAAAAAGGAATAGCATCAAAAGTATAATATATACAGTATCAAAAGTATAATAAATGAAACTCACCATATTTGTAATGGCTTGGATCCTAACTTCCATATGTCATATGTTAAAAATGCTAGGCAAAAAATCCAGTACTTTCATAAAAAGGTAAATACCTGAGACTAGGGCTATTTGTGTCCTTAAATCATGGAAGAATTTTGTAATCTCCGTAGTTGAGACTTAACAAACAGGACGTTCATTGCTCTTTCGTAAACACAGCAAAAGAACCAACATTTTTGTCTCATGCGAATCCGGTAAAATTCCCATTAGATATGGACTGCCAATTTTAAGGAAAGACGTGAGACTAACTGTTTTTTAAAGTCTCTGAAAGGCCTAATTCTGGGTCATATTATTCTGGTTTTCCCCTTTTCCAATTTGCTTTAATAATTTAGGGATAAAAAGTGTGGCATCGTTCTTTATACCAAGGCTGGAGCAAGATGTGCTGTCCTCCCCACCACTGTCATGCAAAGTCCCCTAGGCACCAAATGGCGAGCAAGGCAGCTGTCAGTGCACAGCTGTCAGTCCCCCTCGCATGTGCTTTGGGTGAAGAGGGGCCTTATGCAGGGGCCATGCTTCTGGTGCTGTTCCCAAGGTGACATGGCACTGCTGGCCCTGGCCTGACCCCTCACGTCAACTTGTTAGGTGTAGATGTCTACAGGGAAAGCCTACACATGCAGACTTCTATGTGCATCATCTTTCACTTTGTCCCACAACCCTGCACAATCATGGTTTCACAGTGGCAAAGTTTATGTGCTTACTGATCTGCACATATAGGAGATGGCAGATGGCCAGATGGCATCATGAAGAGCTGAGGCTGGGTCAGAACACACCTGTGAAAGTTGGTATCATTATGTACATGTGAAGGGAGCTATCAGTTTTCACATCAGTGTAACACCATGTAACGACTGAAGGCTAGGGCTGTCTTGAATCCATCGTTTTTTTCCTGACAATACAACCTTTCATATATTTACTCAGAGGTAACTCCTATTGAATGTAGTGGGTCTTACTCTTAGGTAGGTGGCTAGAGGTTTACTTCTTGATTCTATTGACTGTATAAATCAGCCCCTGGAATCTGTCTCATTAAATTTCCACACACCTGACTGCCTCCCTTGGGATAGGTGGTCAACTGTACTCTAACCCTTTGTCAGTGATGGCAAACAAAGATTTTGAGCTTCCATCACAGCAGTAGGCAGAAGGCCAAAGTCCTGTCCCTCCAAACTTTGCTGTTTTAACTCCGGGGTTAGTAGTGGTGTCTGATCAAAACATTTTATCAGTTTATTTTGTTAAAGGGCTCTAAAGCACAGAGGACGGGCATACAATTATATAACGAATGTTCGTGCTTTCTTATAAAATAGGGAGAGAGATAATACTAAAGCTCCAATTATTTGAACCACTAGAATTCCATCCTAACTATATTCTCACACCCTGAGTAGAATTAATAGTTATGCAGTGATCTTTTTGTTAATATGAAGTGACTTCTGAGTGTTCTGCAGTGCCTAATTCTGGGTACAGGACTGAATGTAATGTTTTCTGGTATGGTTGGTCCTGGCCCTATCCTCTGCTTCAAACTCCAGAGTTCACTTGCTTGTTTTATTTCAGGATTTATTGCATATTTAACCTTTGGGAGCAGTGGATGGGATACCTGACAACACCAAAGCCATCCAAGTAAGCTGTGATTTTAATCAGTACCTTCGTTTGCCAGTCTTTGACGAAAGCTCTTTTGAGAAGAAATTATTTGTTTATGAACACTTCTATACTATCTTATATGCCAAAACGCCATCCAATTAGTATACAACAATTTAAAACAACAGACCCTTAAAACAAGAATGTTTAAAAAGTTAACTGGAAAAACTACATTATTTAAAAGGCAAAATTAAAAAGACAATTCTTGGCACCCTTTCCAAAAGCCAAGAGAATGGAAGACTCTTACTCATTC